CCCGGCGACAGACTCACGTTGGGTCCCACTTCGAGGCACTCGGGCTGCTTGAACATGTCGGCCACCTCTGGGGGCACGCCGCCGCCGCCGACGCCGTCCGAGGCAATGGGCCGCCAGACGTGCTTGCCGAGGGCGGCGATGGCCTCGTCGAAGTTCTCGGCGTCGGGGCTGTCGGGGCGGCGGGAAGCGTTGACGAGGGCGGCAAAGGCGGCGCGGTCGGCCGTGGTGGGCAGGGCGCCGCCGTGCTGTCGGCAGGCAAGACGATTGGGGAAGGAGCAGGAGGTCGGCAGGAGGGTGAAAAGGTGAGTGGCGTCAGTAGGTTGGCTGGGTGGTGGGTGCAATATCGGAAAGGGGCGCGGCGTTGGCAGAGCCTGCCCTCGGGCATGGGTGCTCACGCTCTGCCTCCACTGCTTGAGCTTGTTGAGGAGGATGACGACCATGGGGATGTGGCTGTGAAGCATCGTGTCGGGCGTGTCGAGGTCAAACGAGTCTGCGAGTGCTTGTAGCTCGGGGAAAGGGCGTGTGAGGCGGAGGTCGACGATCGAGTCTGGGTGGGTCTCGACGATGGCCACCTGGTGGACCGAGAGCGAGAGCTGGCCGACCATGCCGGCGGAGGCGACGCGGAGGAAGGGGATGTGGGGCGAGGGTGGCTGCTGTGCCCAGCAGAGGTCGGAGAGGGCGAGGTCAAAGGCGCGCGGCTGGTCGACCGAGATGACGAGGTCGAATGCGGTGAAGAAGCCGGGCTGGCGCGCGAGGAGGTCTGCGGGTGACTCGACTGTGGCGTTGGCCTTTACGCCGTCGTTGAGCTCTGCGAGGAGGCGTGCGATCTCTGCGGCAGCCGGTTTGCCCTCGCTGTGACCCGGCTGGAGGAAGAAGTTGGTGCCGAGGCTTGCCGGGTCGACGGTGCGATGGTCGAGGATGGTGAAAGCGCCGATGCCGGGGAGGACGAGGTTCTTGAGGATCTGGGCCGAGAGGGCGGATGCGCCGACGACGAGGATGTTTGACTTTTCGAGGGATGCCTGTCCGGAGGATGCCCAGAGGCGGAGCTGTCTATCGTAGCGCTGTGTGTGGGCCGAGGGGCGCTCGCTGAGGGGCGCCGTGGTGGTCATGGCGGGGCGAGGGGCGAACGGGACAAAGTGGCTGCGAGGCTGGATGCTTGGGTTGTGTTGAGTTGCCGCCCGGTGTGCGTGGCGTCTAAACTAGAACGAGGAAAGGAAGGATACGATGTGAGCCAGTAGGAATGCGGTGGGTGGCAAGCGAGGGCGTCGTGGGCGGCAAGCAAAGAGGAAGAAAGGCGAGCCAACGTCAGGCGGTCGAAAGTGGAGCGGCGTGCGCCCGGGCCATGGTCAAAGAGGGCCAAGCTCAGCCAGCGGCTGAGCCAGGGCCCTCTGGTTGGTTGGGCTGCTTCCCTCAGCCTCGGCCAGCCGGCCAAGCAACTCGGAAGTCGGGCGAGCAGAGGCAGCACCAAAGCGGCGAGCAGCGCCAATAATGGACCCTGAACCCCTTCGCCCTCGCCCACCCGCCCGCCCATGCCATGCCATGCCATGCCATCCCCACAGCGCAGCCTCGCCACCGTCGTCGTCCTCCTCCTCCTCACCACCACCACCAACCCGTCACTGCGCCGTCCACCAATACCCATGCCCATGCACTGCGGCACCACGACAAACAACCACAATGGCACAACAGCATCCTCCAGACACACCACACGCGCATCACGACTCACACGCACCACCACCGCACCCCGCACAGACCACCGACGTCCCTCGGACCCCCACCGCGCACTCACACCACCATCACACCAACCACAATGACGGCACTCACACCGACTCAGACCTCTCCACCAATCACGGCACTCAGCCACCACCACCACCCCACAGCAACCCTGCCGACACCACCCCAGTCACCACCAACGCCATCCCCGACCCCGCCGTCTCCCTCTCTTCCGCGCGCCCCACCATGCTCCCTCCCCCAAAGCTCAGCAGGGCCGCATCCTTTGCCATAAATTCGACGCCCACCCTCACACCCGGATCCACATGGGGTCCAGCAGCCGCGTCCGCAGCAGCCGCAAGGGCACACGCCGCAGAGCCAGGCCGCATCGGCGACCTCAAACGCTTCACCCTCTGGGAGACAAAGACCCGCTTCTACCTCGTCGCCTACAACACCTCCCAGACACGCTTCCGCATCCTCAAGGTAGACCGCACCCCGCCCATCGCAGCCGCAGCACAGCCACAACACCACCACCACCCGCCCTCTTCCCACCATCACCATCACCCTCCCTCAACCGCACCACCTTCTAGCAGCGGCGACACACAGCACATCGCCGCAAACGCCGGCGCAGACCACCGTGCACCCTCGACCGAGCGCGCCGGTACCCTCGCCGAAGCCAGCAGGCGGAGCGGGACAGCAGAAAAGGGCGCCCAGCCGACCGCAGCCGTCGCCGCCGCGCCTTCGACCGACAAGCACCCATCCAACCTCTCGGCCAGCGGGCAGAGGTACATCGCAGAAGACGACCCTTCCATCCCCCTTCTCAACAAGGCCGCCCTGGACACCAGGCAGCCAGAGGCCATCGCCTCAACCGCCGCCAGAGACTCTCAGCAAGCTGCAGCCGCTGCGCAGGCCACCCAGTCTGTTCTCGGCCTCGGCTCGTCGTCGTCGACGGCGGCGGCGGCCAGCAGCGCAGGCAGCTCCCGCATCCAGGGCTCGGCGGCTAGCGGCCCCCCTGCCGCCGGCGCACCTGCGCACCTCGGCGACGCCATCCCGCCATCTTCTGCCTCTACGCACCCTGCCCACTCGTCCGCCTCGCGCCGCCACGCCTCGCGCCAGTATCCGCCCGCCAGCGCCGACGCCGACTGGGAGCTCAACGTCACCTCGGACACGGTTGTCTACACCCGCACCCAGGTCACCGAGCTGCTCGACATGATCCGCGAGGGCAATCGCGCATCCGGCGGCCTCAAAGAGGTCGGCCGCTTCTTTGGCATCGTCGGCTTCGTGCGCTTCACCAGCACCTACCACATGGTCCTCATCAGCCGCCGCAGCGTCGTCGCCCTCATCGGCGGCCACTACATCTACCACTGCGACGAGACCGTCACGCTGCCCGTGTGCCACCCCACCGTCATGGCCGCCCTGCCCGGGCGCACAAAGGCCCACGACCAGGAAGAGGCTCGGCTGCTCCACCTCTTCAAGCAGGTCGACCTCGGCAAGAACTTCTACTTTAGCTACACGTACGACCTCACCAAGACGCTCCAGGACAACCTCACGGCCGGGCCGCAGGAGCCGGCGGGTCAGCAGCGAGCGCAGACGGCAGCGACGACGGCGACGACGACCGCCTGGGGTTACAACGAAAAGTTCATCTGGAACCACCACCTGCTGCTGCCGGCCTTTGGAGAGTCGGAACGCTCGGGCTCGGGCTCGGGTTCGCAATCCGACGCCGACGCCCGCAACGGCTGGGTGCTGCCGCTCGTCTACGGCTTCGTCGACCAGGCCAAGCTGGGCGTGCTCAGCAGGACCGTCTACGTGACCCTCATCGCCCGCCGCTCGAGGCACTTTGCCGGCGCGCGCTTCCTCAAGCGCGGCGTCAACGAGCGAGGCCAGGTGGCCAACGACGTCGAGACCGAGCAGATTGTCAGCGAGGCCCTCACCACGCCCTTTTTCGCTCCGGCGAAGCGGCCCGGGCCCACCCGGCGGCAGCAGCGGCGAAACGACGCCGAGATCGGCGAGTCGAGCGGCAGTCGGCACGGCCTCGACCGACCGCCGTCA